ACTCGATTATGATACTGCACTAGGTGTCAGATTGGGCTATCTTTGATATGCCAATCAGTGAGATCCTTAGAGGGGGTCAAAACCTGGGTATGTTGGGATAGTCCGGGAATTCATCTGAGTGGGTGATCATAGTGACAGGATCAACCCCTTTGTCAGACAAAGTGAATGATCGGGGATGCACTCTCTTTGATGGAAACCAAAACTGCCGGCAGTCGATTTCAACCGTTGAAATTTGTTTTGCAAAAGATATTTATATAGAGATACACATATATATTATGGTTTCAAAATGTTTGCAAAAGATTTTAATTCCCAGGATCCATGTGAATAGATAGTGCAGCACTGCACCTTGCAACCAAGGGAGAGGTCCTCTCTTGTCGGGCAGTGATTGATCATTATGGGCTGAGAGGTTAAGTGTAAGACCATTGAGGGTAATGCCTGATGGGCTAATCTTGCATCTGCCCACAGTCCTTGGGTTTTTATAAGGTGGCTTGACCCAAGGACCATTTAATGTAAATGTTGGGCCCATTAAGAGCCCATGGTGATGGACTCAGGGGTTTACTATTTCCTACAGTGAATTCGGCTAGGTCTTGTAACAGAGGCTGAACTGAACCCATGTGGCTGATGTGTAGATCAATGTTTGGGTCCCACGCCATACAAGGATATCCAACTGGGCAGCAGTTAGGAGGTAAGTGAGTAGATAGACTTAATGGGCCTAAAGCCCAAATTGAACTAGCTTGATAAGATTAATTAAAAGGGGGCGGTTCTGGGATTTAGATCAGCAGATAGGATAAGGGATTGTCCCTATCCACTCAGAGAGTCCAGATCCAAATAAAGATTTGGATCAGGAAACTCCTAATTAGATTATGAGGGCTGATATTTATTTGTAGATAAGATAAGGGATTATCCTTATCTCTTAAAGAGAGTCCAGATCCAAATACAAGATTTGGATTAGGAAACTTTTAATGGGATTAGGAGAACCTCTCTTTAAGGATATAAATAGGAGAGCAGGGTGAACCCTCAGGATATATCAGAAATCATCTGGCTGACTACTGATTTCCAGAGAGAGACAACACAATTTGACTACACTGTCTCCTTCTCTCCTGCTTTTGCCGCCATACCAGTTCGATCTCCACCTGTGGGAGCGATCAAGAAGGGTTCTTGATATTACCTTTTGGCAGAAAAGGCAATCTGAAGTCTTGCTCACTTGCCCTCCATCAGATTCTTGCTGAAGAATCAGGTTCTTGTTGAAGAGCCATCCTGTTGATTCTGCTTCATCCTGCTCCGTGTCATCTTCGGTGGAAGTAGTCTTTGGATTCTTCCTTGGGCATGAACACCTTCATTGGAGATTATTACTACTTCGTATCAGGTATATCCCTCCACTCCTTTTTGGTTTCAGATCTGGTCCGGTTTGGGTTCAAGATTGATCATTGAAAATGCAGTTTTCTAAAATAGGGAATGTGATTCCCACATGGGAGAGAGAGAAATTGTTGAAATTTCGCCCAACCTTCCTGCAAGGTTCGGCAGTCCATATGATGAATCTCTCATCCCTTCAATCCAAGCCCACATACAGTCTGCTGACCCCAAATTTTCATGCCCTAGCAATGTAAAACAATAGCAAAATTCCCTTTCTTTACTATTTATATAAATCTCCAAAAATAAAATTTACAACAATTCACCTGGCCTCCAATGATAAAACATAGCAATGAATGATAACAGAAAATAGCATAAAAACACTAGAAGGATTACTAGTTTCTCTCTGATCAATACATTCTATCATTGATTTTAATTGATCTTGAGTATATATTAGATCGCACATATAAAAATTCCCTTATCTTCTACTGTGACTTCAAAAGTAAAGGTAATTTGCAAGATTTCTAAGCAAGCAAAAGTATGATATGCCAATGAAATCCTCCATGTTGCCAATAGTGATTCTATTTTTTCTTCAGTATCATTTGCCAACTTGTATGCTTTTAATTTAGACCTAGTGGTAGGTAGTTCTTAAATCTTACATTAGTTTTAGTATTTCCTGTTAAAGATTTTGCAAACGATTTTTTGTTGAAGTTTAAACAGTTAGTAATATTTTGGAATTTTATTATAGTTCAAGGAGGATTGCAACACAGAAAAGAAAATTGCTTCAAAACTTAAATCATGTGCTGAAAGAGCCATATGGTTGGAGAATGAAGATAAAATACAGCGTGGACTCTTTGATCTTCTGCAGGTAGGATGTAATGCCAAGAAACATTTTTTTCTTTGTTGTATTTAATTCCCTTCCTGATGGCATTTTTAGTTAACCTTGTTTGTTCCGGTTATCTCTTGAAAGTATTGTCCAGAAGACAGGAGGACCTTACATGTTATTATATATTGAAAGAGAACAAAATTTTTCAATGTTTCATTGCAGAATATTGTTCTTATCAGAGATCCAGAAGATGCACGAAAATTTTATCCTCGTTTTAATCTTGAGGATACATCAAGTTTCAAAAATTTAGATGATCACAGGTATTCAAAAGATAGTAGATTTTGTTCCTATTCAGAGTACTGGTGACTGCATTTTGACTTCATATTTCACATTTTCATTATTTATATTGAGATGAGGCACATGCCCCATGATCTCCTACCTATATGATGTTTCTCACTGGCTGTTTCTTTATGCAGTAAAAATGTACTGAAAAGATTATATCATGATTACTATTTCCATCGACAAGAAACTCTTTGGCGCCAAAATTCACTGAAAACTCTGCCTGTCCTACTAAACTCATCAGACATGTTGGCCTGTGGAGAAGATCTAGGGTTAATTCCTTCCTGTGTTCATCCTGTACGTTGGTCAAGTCTTTCTTTTCTTTTTTCCTTTATTTTCCATTATTATCAGTTTATGCTTGTATGAACTTCCAAAAAGTTTGTGAATTATGATTTGGGGAATTTTTCAGGTTATGCAAGAGTTAGGGCTGATAGGTCTACGCATCCAACGAATGCCAAGTGAACCTGGTCTGGTGTTCGGCATTCCTTCTCAGTACAGCTATATGACAGTATGCCTTAATGAGATTTCTCCTGTTTATTGTGCATTTACTTTTTTTCTTTTTGTCTGTCTCTTTAGTAGAGTTTCATACTTCAATGATCACTGTAAATAATGATGGATGACAGTTCAACTATACTTTGCATCAACAAAATAGGTTATGGTTTAAAGCTGTTTGTCTTCATTTTCTTAGACTGAAAGCACCATTTTTTAGGATGAGTAGTTTCATCCTAGATGTATGTATATTCTTGACTTATTGGAGATTGCAACACACACACAGTTTGGCCAAATATTAGTAAAATATAGAATTACTGACAATATTTCTCCAATATACCAAAGGTTACTAATATTTTTCCTAAATTCTTTTTTAAAATTTGAAATGTCTGAAATTTTGCGATGTTTTATTGATACCTATATTTCCAAAGGGTACCTGTCACCCTGGAATGAAAATTTCCTTGGATCCTTATGTTTTGTAGTTTGTGGTTTGGTCACTCCTGAACAAGAGTCAACAACTCTGTTGTAAGACTTGTTATTTACCATTGGGCTGGGCTGTTTCTTGTACTGTTTTATTATGCTCCTTATTGGTCTGGATGGGCCTGGGCTTTATGTTTTAAACCTTTTATGTTCTGCCCACCTAATGAAGGGAATGTTTGTACTTTTATATCTTTTTAAACACTTTTAAATACAATTATGGCTTGATAGAAGATAAGCTGTTGCACCATTCTCTGAACTCTTCTCTTCTTGTTTTCTTCTTCCTCTTGCTCAAAACCTTTTTGGTATCAGAGAAAAAGAAGGCTCTCTAAGGTTCAGCTGAAGCTCTTTTCTCCCCCTTACACTTTTTTCCCTCTTCTCAAATCTCAACCTCTTCTACCACTGACTGGTTGAAACCCTATTCTGGCTGTTGTCTACTAGAGAGGATTTTCTCTTCTTTCTAGGGTTCTGCTTTGGGTAAGAGGCCAAGGAGACCCTTTGCAATGTAGGTTATGCCCTACTAGGGTAAGGCAAAAAGGAGCAGACCAGCAGTCTACAGACTGCTAGAGAGACCTGAGTTTTCCCAGGTCTAGCTGTTGACAGAGAAGAAAAAACCCATAAATCTTCTGGACAATGGAGAAAAGTGACCAGAACCCCAGGCTATAGTCCTTATCATAGGTATTAAGCCCAATTCAAGTCAAGCCTGTCCTTGCCCATGATCACCTCATTGTTTTAGAGATATTTTATGTTTATTTATTATGGTATATGTTACATACTTATTTGCTTATTTATTCATTTATTACGTGAACTATATTGCACATGCAAAGCACATGCCACTCAGCTAGCGGGGAATAAAACACCAATTCGTAGGGATTACAGTCCCCACTATCTTTTATATTCAAGTATAATATGGGATGAAATTACATGTATACCCTTAATAGGATGCATCAATTAAGAAATCAAAAATAAAGAAGCCCATGGGCTGAAAAATGACATAATAAAAGCCCATACTTATTTTTTGGACATGTTTCTTGATTTCCCAACATTCTGCACCATAAAACATAGCTGTCCATACAACTGTTTTATAGAATTTTCCCTTTAATCTATGTGGTATTTTCCTATCACATAAAACTCTGGTTGCATCCTTCCATTTTGCCCATCCTACCCTAATTTTATGCGCGACATCCTCCTCAATCACTCCCTTATTATGAATTATTGAACTAAGGTACTAAAAAAGGTCACATTGAGTTATCTCTTGGTCTTAAATACTTAGTGCACTCTGATTTGCACTCCTATTATTATTAAATTTACATATCATATATTCTGTTTTAGTCCTACTTATTTTAGAACCTCTTGTTTGTAAGGTACTTGTCCATAAGCTTAATTCACATTTAATCCTTTATTAATTTCATCAATTAAAACAATGTCATAGATGTAAGTCAAACCAATAAAATTAGCAACATATTTTAGATTAAAGCAAAAGAAAGTAGGGAAGAAGAAGAAGACGAAGACGACAAGAAGGAAGATTGGAGAAGAAAGGAGAAAGAAAAGAGGAGTTCGATAATCTACTCTTTTCCCCCACTAATCTTTTAATAAACTTAAGTTACATAATTTACAAGATGGCCCTTAAGTAGGCATCCACATCAGCACTATACTGAGAAAGCATAAACAAGAGCTTAAGGCCCATAAAGAAAAGGCCCAATAAGAAAAAATAACAAGAAAGAACTTATAAGAAAGACACTAATGGGCTAGCGTCCATTCGGCTCAGTCTCTCTACACTCCCCCTCAAGCTGAGCATAGATATCCATCATGCTCAGATTGCTTATATAGTAAACCAGCTTTCCGTTAGGAACATCTTTTGTCAAAACATCAACCAACTGTTCTTCAGAAGCAACAAATGGTAGACAGACTTCTCCTGAGGCAATTTTTTCGTATAAAATGCCTGTCAACTTCAATGTGCTTAGTTCTGTCATGTTGAACAGGATTATGTGCAATTTTGATAGCAGCCTGGTTGTCACAATATAACATCATTGGCTTCTCACAGTCTATACCCAATTCATCTAATAGTGCTACAAAAGTTTAGAAACTCCATGTGCAATTCCCTGTACTCTGCTTCAGTTGAGGATCTTGCCACTACAGACTGCTTTTTACTCCTCCATGGTACAATATTCCCTGCTACCATAGCACAATAACCTGAAGTGGACCTCCTATCATCAATACATCTGGCCCAGTCAGCATCAGTGTATGTTTCCAGCTTCATGTGTCCATGCTTAGCAAACAAGATACCTTTCCTTGGAGTCTCTTTTAGATAGCACAAAACTCTCTCAACAGCTGCTAAATGTGTATCTCTAGGAGAATGCATAAACTGGCTGATTACACTAACTGCATAAGAAATATTTGGCCGAGTCATGCAAAGGTATAATAACTTCCCGACCAGTCTCTAGAACATTCCCTTATCAGGCAACAGTTCACCTTCAGTAGCTGACAACTTATGATTTAGGTCTATAGGAGTAGAAGCAAGTCAAGCACCCAGTTTGCCAGTCTCTACAAGGATATCAAGAACATACTTATATTGAGAAATGAAGATACCATCCTTAGATCTGACAACTTCAATTCCCAAGAAATATATAAGTTCTCCCAAGTCTTTAATTTCAAACTCGGTGTTGAGAAAACTTTTGAGATGAACAACTTCTTGAGTATCATTACCAGTAACCACAATATCATCAACATAGACAATCAGAAGGGTAACTAAGGAATCTCTCCTCTTAACAAACAAAGTATGATTTGACTGAGTCCGTGTGTACCCAAAAGCAACAAGAGCAGCCCGAAATCTACCAAACTAGGCTCTAGGAGATTGCTTAAGGCCATTAAGAGACTTCTTCAGTTTATAGACATTTCCTTGCATCTCCTTCCCATACACCCCTGGAGGCAAAGACATATAGACCTCTTCATGTAGGTCCCCATTCAAAAAAGTATTCTTTACATCAAACTGATGAAGATGCCAATCAAAAGAAATAGCTAAATATAGCAAAACTCAAACTGAAGTCATCTTGGCTACTGGGGCAAAAGTTTCCAAGTAGTCAATACCATACATCCGAGTATATCCTTTAGCAACCAAATGAGCCTTATATCTCTCAACAGTACCATCAGAATGATACTTAATAGTGAACACCCACTTACAGCCAACCGGTTCCTTTCCCTCAGGCAAATCCACAATTTTCCAAGTATTGTTCTTATGCAAAGCATCTCGTTCAGTCATCATAGCATCCCTCCATTCTGGTTTGGACAAGGCATCTAGGACAGATCTGGGAGTCACATGTGTGGAAATAAAGGCAATGAAGGAATAGTAGGAAGGGGAAAGAAGGTTATAGGACAGGTGTTTGGAAATGCAATGAGTTGTACATTTTTGTTTGCCTTTGCAAAGGACAAAAGGGAGATCAAGGTCAGGGAAGGTATTCGAAGTGGTAGAAGAGGGCTGACCTGTTACCTCAGTAGTGATGGGAGCAAGAGGCACAAATGTGACATCTCTGAGTCTTTGTCTTTGGTACCACCTTTGGATAATAGGATGGGAAGGAAAAGTAGGGGCCGAGCAAGAGGAGGAGGGGGAGCAAGAATAGATGACTCAACTGGAGGAGATGCTATAGAAGATTCAATGGGGATTGGAAGCGGGACAAATGGTGACAATGAAAACAACTCCTCTGAATGCTCCCCCTCAAGAGAAGTACCAAAGAAAGGAACAGACTGCAAATGTGACATCTCTAGAAATAAAGCGAGTGCCACAAACCGAATCAAAACAACAGTACCCTTCTGTGTGGAGGCATATCCCAAAAAGACACACTTGTGTGCTTTAGGCTCAAACTTAATGTCTTTGATGACTGTGAACATGAACATAGCAAGTGCATCCAAACACCCTGAAAGGAAGAGAGAAAAGATCCTCATTTGGGAAAAGCAAGCTAAAGGGAGTTTTAAACCCCAAAACCTGAGAAGGCATTCGGTTTATCAAGTATGTAGCTGTAAAGACAGCATCACCCCAAAACTTAATAGGAACATGGGAAGCAAAAAGAAGGCTCCTCGCAACCTTAACCACGTCTATTCTTCCTTTTCGCTACTCCATTTTGTTGAGGAGTGTAGGAGCAGGAACTCTGATGAATAACTCCAAAGGTATCAAAGTAGGAGGAAAGGCTCTTCCCAAAATATTCCTTTGCATTATCAGATCAGAATATTTTGATCCGAGTGTTAAACTGGGTAAATATAAGCTCATGAAATTTTTGTACAATATTTGGTACTTTATCTCGGGATTTCATAAGGTAAATCCAGGTGTAACAAGAGAAATCATCAATGAAAAGAATGAAATATTTGTAACCCCCTATAGCAGGTAAATGATATGGCCCCCACACATCAGAGTGCACAATATGGAAAGGAGAATCAAATCTTTTATTACTCATTGAAAAAGATTGTCTACAATGTTTTGCAAGTTCACATGAATCACAATGAAGACTTGATAAGGATATTCCCTTAAACATTTCTGGAAACAAATGATTC